TTTTTATAATCTGAAGAACCTTCTTTCGCCACAAAGTATCTTTTGTGAAACAGAAAGGTTCTTCAGGTGTTAAAGGTTCTTTATGGAACCATTTAGACAAAAAGGTTCTTCTATGGCATCGTGAAGCACCTTTATTTTTAAGAGTGTACTATAGTAAAAGAGTAGTGACCATGGTTTTCACCGCTTTAGGATTAACAGATCTTCGCATATTTTCCATATCTATATCAACTTTGAGTAAAGAAAAGAGAGATTTAGAGCCAGATTTTTTTTATGTATGTGAAATTAGCTAGCAGGAAACACAAATGAATTAAGTTAGCCTATATTTTCCTATATATCAGAAAGAACAGAAAGAAAAGTCACTTACAAAAAATTAGATTAGGAACATTAAAAAATGTGATCAAAATGTCTGTGTGGTAAAAACAAGTGAATGAACCTTTCTCAAAAGAGACAAAAACAGCAGCTCACTTCAATGTCTGACTAATATTATAATTACGTTCATAAGCTTTTTGTGAAATGTGCAGTAACTCATTAATCTGTTGCTTGATCTCTTTATATTTAAGGAGAGAACTATAAAAGTCAGACATCGCTTGTTATGATTTTCAAGGGTGTAGAATTGAGTAGAGACGCTATGACATGATCCTGCCGATATCAGACACTACTAAAATGTCCCTAGCAATAATTTTGATCAAACAATTACATGTCTGTTGTCTGCCGTTACATCCCCACCAATGCCAAAATCAAACCTACACCCTTGCGATATTTACTTTTGAATGTTCTCTGAACATTCTGAAGCAAGTAACAATATTTAAAAAACATTAGATGAATGTCCAACTAAAATGTTTTAGAAAAACATTCTATTAATGATGTATGAATCATGTTTTTGTGCTAATCTTTTGAGTACATTATTAAAGACCAGATAACTTTGAATGAACATTCTATTAATGTTACTGGAAGAATGTTTGTTCATAACTTTGAGAAAACCTTATCAGAATGTTCTGAAAATGTTTCCCCATGAAACGTTGTGTTTGCTTGCAAAATCACTTAAATATGTGACCCTGGACCACGAAATCAGTCATAAGGGTCCATTTTTTGAAGTTGAGATTTATATATCATCTACAAGCTTTCCATTGATGTATGGTGTGTTAGGATCGGACAATATTTGGCTGAGATGCAACTATTTGAAAATCTGGAATTTAAAAACTTTAAAGTTGTCCAAATTAAGTTCTTAGCAATGCATATTACTAATCAAAAATTAAGTTCTGATATATTTACAGTAGGACATTTACAAAATATCTTCATGGAACATGATCTTTACTTAAAGGGGCATATGATGTTGCTAAAAAGAACATTATTTTGTGTATTTGGTGTAATGCAATGTGTTTATGTGGTTTAAGGTTCAAAAACACATTATTTTGGCGGATTCGACGAAGGAGGCTTGCGGCAAACACATGTGACAACCCCGGGCTGGACTCCGCTTCATCCATGGGTGAAAGCCGATCTGGCGATCCACAGCACGAAGTTGATGTATTCCCTCAGCAACCAGCACGGATCAGCTCTAGGCATGACGAAGCAGATATCGTCCTCTTTTGGAAGACTAAACAAAGTAGTTTCGCTTTCACAACGAAACACACAGTGCCTTCACGACATAGCGGCGGCAACGACAATATTACAGCGAGAATAAAAGTTATGCCTTCTTTCTTTGCGTGAACATTTGGGCGGCGTTATGCAAATCTTCCCACATAGTGAGGTAGACATGTGGGGGCATGTTAGAACGAGCCGTT